TTTTTATAGAAAAAATTGAACACTTCTTTAGGGCACTACGGCAAATTAAAACGTAGCAAAGGAAAAATACACATTTTCGTAATTTGACAAGTTCGAAATTGTTTTTTGGCACATGGTTTTGTCAGCAAAGTCTCTACAACCCGACCCGCCTTAATGTGCATATGTATGTATGTAAATACACAGTAAATGCAATCACATGCTGGTATTTTACTCCTACTACCTCTACCAACAATCTTGACTCGATGTCCTTTTTTGTGATGGCAAGTTGTTAATGTGTGGAAAACATCTGGGGCTGTGCTGATGGCTAGCTGGCATATGAATATTGGAATGTACTATGGTGGAATATGATGCCCAAAATTTGATATTCACAGTAGGAATGTGTTTATTTACATAATGTATGTATGTATGTATATTTTCTAAGTGCCTAGGTAGTCGGGGGCGTGTCCTAGTTAGTGACATTTTAATTGGTATTTATTGCTACTTAAATTGAAGTATTCCTGTTGACAACTTACACTTCGTTTATCAAATTCTATCAGTACTCGTACATTGATATATTGAATTTTGTACTACATTCGAATGTGCAATCCATACATATATGTGTTCACTAAGGTGGTGCAAAAATGCACGTGAAAAAGTAAAGTCGGAACATTTATGCTCTTACCCCCTTAATCAATATTTTGCTCTCAAGAAGACTTCAGGGAATAGTTAGTATATTTTACCATTTTTTAATACTAACAGGGGTATATTTTTTTTTGGTATATACCAATCCTAGGGGGTGAGAGCATTAAAATTCCGGCTGTACTTTTTTCGGACCACCCTAGTGTTCTCATACATGCACATACATATTAATACACACAAGTATGATTTATCAAATACTATGGTCACTTGGATATTTCCGGATGTTAAAATGCGCATTAATGAATTGGGAAAAAAACGACCAGCTAATGGCTCCTAGGGGAAGTACTAAACTTGAATTTCCTATGCCTATGTCCATAGTTCATACTTATGTATATGACGCCGCTCATTCTCATTCTCACTTGGTATTGGCTTTGGGCATACGAAGCAGGGTTGTTGCGAATATTCACATTTGCATTCGCAACCGCGGAGCTTCTGCATTAATTTTGACATTCGCATTCGCTTTCGTATTCGCATTATTTGCTCCTTCGTTATAGGTTTTTATTATAAACATATTCCGTTACGCGCTGATTGTTTCTCTATACTCTATAAATGAAGGAAAATGATCATATGCTTTTAGGTAATACAATTTATGTATAGAGGCTCATGTTTTTTTAGTCCGATGCCCGAGTTTTCTCTCGACGGCCCTGACTACACCTGGTACAATTTCACCATTTGTTTAACAAGGTAAAAGGCAATGCGTGTGCCATGTTTGGAAAAGATTGGTTAAGCCATAACCAAGATACACATATGTATATATGGTATTAAAAGTTTGTGATGTCACACGTTGTTTCTAAAATTGTACAAGAATAAATCCTGTCAAACGCAGGTAATACTTTTTGTAACCGGTTAGTAAAATTCCCGTAAATTTTTAAACCGTCTTCACATTCTGCGCTCTCGTGAAACGGATAAATTTGTTTGGAAGTCGGTAAAATAATATTGCCCACGTGAAATACGCAATACAAGAAGTTTTACTAAAATCCATAGCTGAATTGCTTAATATATTGATAGCGTTACTAATGTACCTAGAATTGCGATTACAAGATGTGCAGACGTTTTGCAAGTACCGTTATATGAAAGGTGGACTCGGTTGTTCTACGACTTCAAATGTTTTTTAGTGTTTTGCTCAAAAAGAGCTAAATTAGTATACGTATGTATGTCCAAATTTCGAGGAAAATTGTTAACTATGGGGTGATTGCCTCGGGTTTTCAAAACGGGTTTTAGCCTTTTTTAGGCGCTTTTTTCAAATCTTGAATATTTATATAATTGACAGTGGAACTAGCAAATTTTGATTAATTTACATAATATCCTAAAACGGCAGGCTTAAAGGGTGTTTGGATGAGGCGATTTTACAGGCAATTTTTAGGTAAGAGCAACAATGGCCTGGTATGAACGGCCGTTCAACTAATCGCTCTTAATGAAATTGGGAGATCAGCCAACTTTTAATTCAACTAATCGCCTCTGAAATTGCGTCATGTAAACAACGTATTAGGAAAAGGACGAATCCGATGTACGTGGGCGTGTGCAGAGTTGGATAGTGTCGTCGCGGCGCACTGTGTTCTGTTTTGGGAAAAAATGGACATTTTCGAAGTATCTCTATTTGCTTTCAACACAAATTTTCCTTCAAATTTTTATGTAATTTGTAAACATAAGGAAAGCATAAGTTTTAGAGACTTATACATACATAGCCTCTCAGCAAAGCTGAGTATATAACAAAACAAGTGCAAGTACTTCCGAGGATTTTCCAAGAACTTTGAAAGAGGAGGATATACAATTCAGCATTGCTCGTTATCGCATAGGATTCCCTAGAATATCTTTCCACATTCATATACCTAAGTATATTTTTAAGTTATTTATACATAGATATGTATACACGTAAAAGAAATTGTTTAAAAGACCAACGATCTTCGATGAGTTATTAAGCAAGTTTTTCTTCATATATCCTTCAGCTGCTTTAATAACATCGGGCCGGTTAAATGTTGGCTTAAGAAACCTTTAGCTTCTTTGAAAATTTGTTAACTTGCTATACAGGGAATACGCTCTGAAAAGGCACAAAACAATATTGGCATTAAAAGCTTTTTAGGCAGGGCTTTGCTGATATCCTTTATGTTAATAAGTTTTCTTTTCTGGAAATCCGGAAATCCATTTTGTCCAGTGCCCTGTATAAACGGCAGTAAGTCGAGAAATGCAGTGCGTTTTGCGCAGTAGGTTGACCACAGAATCCTGCAGACTTTAAAGGATGGTAGGCCCTCCCATCTACTATTAGCCACAATTTTCCAGCCACTGAGACATTCAGAGCCGAACCGTCCCTGGCTAACTCGTCGGTCATCTCTTTGCCGTGAATACTGCTGTGCCCCTGATCAGTGTAACGATATGACTATCAGCTAAAGCCATAACGTTCTTTCTGCATTGTTGTATTATGATGGAGGTTGCCTTTATTTTAGAACGGGACACGAAAGAGAAAGTGGCAATCAAATGCAATTTTTTTTTTTTGGTATAAACGACAATACAAATAGATGTTTCCCAAAAATTGTTCACATTTCCTAAGCTACTGAATGAATGTCGACCCACAATAAATTAAACAAACGCATACAGATAAATGGGGAATATTGGAATATGTGTGTGAAGTCCACCATAGTCCGACTTTTGTCAACTCTAGTACACCCATTATCAACATTATAAACGCACCTGAACGATTGAAAATTATACATATAGAAGTCTTTAACCTTTTTACATAAATTTCCAAAAACCGCTTAAAAATATGAGCTATTCACCATTTGAAATCATTAATGAAAATACAAAGATGCACTGAAAAATTAATAGATGGGCGTTGACGAAGGCAAACTGAATGGAAACGCCTATAAGATTTTCCATATGTCTGTCTGTACACATACATATGTATCTATGTACACAGAAAGCAAGAAAATATTTGTGTAATTTAAAAAAGCCCCAATGCAGAGCTAGCAAACCAATTAGAAAAGATGTACTAAATTTAGAAACGCCATTGAAAGTGAAGAGCATAAGTGACTAAAAAAGAGAGAGGTAGTATGTAGGATCAGAAAATGGTTGTCGTGTGAGAGTAACGGAAGAAGGTGCACACGCGATAAATATGCAATGATTTGTCTTATTTGTTCATGCATACATACATACATAACTATACTGTGCTGTGGATCACTACCGATCAGCGCAAAGATCATCTGCTCTACATTACGCCAAGAGCATCTCGCACATTTGCTTGCCAGGAAAAGGGGAGTAGTACCGCAATGTACATATGTATGTAGGTGTAGAGGTACTATGTAGTATGTTTCGGTGGTGCAGAAAAAATAAGCAGCAAATCCGTTCGCTTTCCCAACAAGAATTTGAAAATAATTTCAGTAGTCACTCGACTTTGGCATTGCTTAGTGTTTGCGCATCAATTAAGTTAATTAACTCATTTGTGTTTTTTGCTAATTGAATTAGGACGCGAAAGAATCAAATTGACGACAAAAAAACCAAAGCGTTTGTGCCTATAAGGAAAGGAACTTGAACGGGCGCAAAAAAAAATAAAAAATAAAAAAAAAAGAACGCAGGAAGAAATCAACGCTGCAGCTGGCAAGACAAGAGGAGCTGTTGTGATTGAGTCAATATAAAAGTAGCGAAAAAAAAAAAAATTTGTTTTGAAAAGTGAAATCGAAAACCAAAAAATCAAGTGTTTGCGAATCCAAAAAAAAAGTTCAACTAAAAGCGGCTATTAGCACAGTGAATTGCGCAATTACGTTGGCGCGTCAGTGCCAGTGAAAGTCGCGCAGAAAGTAAAAATTGACTAAAAGAAAAATAATAGAAATAAAACAAATGCAAAAACCAATCAAAATTAAAAGTGACAGCTAGTCAGTGTGCCGCTGAGTGTGTGTGTGCTGGCCTCGTAGCAGCAATCACCTCAAGCGCATTTTTACTCCATGGCGCTGGGCTGTCGTCACCAATAGCGATCGACAAATGTCCATGCGGCAATTTTGTTAATTAATTGACTTGTAATTGAATTAATGCACAAACACAAACGCGCGCGCTAACAAACTCACACATTATACATACATAGTACATACACCAGCCAGAGAAGTTTCAGTGCGCCGCTGCGAGTTTAGTACTATACACACTCGAAAGGACAGTCGCGAAATTTGACACTGATTTGCGCTAATTTAATGATTTCCACTCATTAGTTGCAACGCGCCTCTCTTCTCATCCCGCTGCATTCATTTGCTCACCGCTTTTCGCAGCATCCTTGCAAGTTGGCTTTTATGCGTTTGGCTGTGCGTGCGTGCGCGCGCGCTTTGATTTACGTGTAAATTACGATGCTTAACTATCACGCACCACAGCAACAACAGCAACCACAACGAATGCAGCAATTATTGAGTAGCTCAATTTCTAATACCGACAATTTCTATTATCCGCAAATGGCAAACATGCCAGCGCTGACATTGCAAAGTGTTGGTGGCGCGAATTGTGGTGGCAGCAGTGTCCGTGGGCTGACAACGTCGGCATCATCGTTGGATCAGTTGCACAGCATGACACAGCATAATGCATTTGCTGGGCATAATTGCAACAACAACAACAATGATAGCAATTCCAATGCTATTAATATGAGCCCGCATCAAGCGATTGCTGCTACAGCCGCTGGCACAGCCTATCAACAGCAGCAGCAGCACCAGCACCAGCAACAACAACAACAACAACAACAACATCGGCTTTATCCCCATCACCATGCCCAACATAATCATAATCATCATCACCCACATCAATCGCAAGCGGATAGAATCGCCGTCGGCAATGATGCCGTTGCTGTTGCTGCTTCTTCATCGGCTGCTGCTCGCTGCGGCAGCGGTAGTACTTGTTCGCCCGATGAACTTACAAAAATCGAAGATAACTATCCTCTGCATGTCGACGGCAGCAAACATTCGGAGAATGTTAAGCGATTCTCTGTGAACAACTTGTTAGAATTAGCCAATGATTGTCGCATTTCGGGCAAATTGCAGCATCAGCATCAACAGCAGGAGGAGAATGTGGATGGCACGCAAATCAACGATTTAGGTGGGTTCACTTACATACAAGCTCATGCGGTTCTTACGCAAAAAGCTGTTTAATCTTAAACTTGCTTGAAGCAAACTCTTAAATAGCTTGCACTAATATCTGTATGCATTTATGCGAATCTTAGATGAATGCTCGTACACATATATATGTATCTATGAACATTTGCAAGGACAACTTATGTGGTTCAAGAAATTTTGATTACAGTGCTAGAAACAACACTGTGGAGCGGCCATTTTAGGGCATCAACCGAAGAATGAATAAAAGGTAGTATCCATCCGAGGCACAGTGTTCCGATTATAAAGATGTTGGTGGAAGAAAGTCGTGACAGTTGATAGAAAAAAACCTGTTTAGCTTAGGTTAGGTTTGGTTAAGGTGGCAGGCCCGCGAAGGGGACTCACTTAGAAATTTAATTGTGCAATAGGGATCCGTTACGATCTTGAGTCGCACCGCGTGGGTTCCCATAGGACAATGTCCGGTCAGTACACCTGTGAGAAGCGAGCGGTGGCGCTTAGCCAGATGCAGTAGCTCCCTTGTCCGCTCGCGGTTCACAACCGGCCAGAAGGACCAAACAAATTTGCAGGTCAGGATTTTTTCACAGCGCTCGCTGTGCCAACTGTAAGCCCATCTGTCCAAAAGCGGATCGCAGGTTGCCAACGGAACTTCAATTCCCTCCCTGTCCGAGGTGATGGCCTCGAGGGTGCCTTGCCTAGCGAGTGCATCGGCCCTGCAATTTCCTGTGATATCATTGTGCCCTGGGACCCAAATCAGCTTGATCTGGAAGTATTCCGAAGCAATTGAAAGAGAGGTCAGGCATTCCCCGACCAATTTTGGTAAAGGAACGAGCTCCGTCTTTCCAGGATTGACAGCAAGTCCGCAGCTAGCGGACTAATTCGCGACCATGTTAAGGTGCCCTTACATAAGATCGTCCAGAGTGTCCAAGAACTTTCCTATGGCGATGAGTGCCACGTCATCCGCGTAGGCAATAAACCGGCATCCTCTTCTTTCCAACTCCTCCAAGACATCGTTTGTCACGACTATCCAGAGAAAGGGTGAAAGGATGCCTCCCGGCGGGGTGCCTCTGCTCACTTTACGCTGCTCAGAAGCGTTGCCCCATTCCGCTGTGACAGTTCTGTCGTGCAGCATATGTGAAATGAGCCTTACTAAGTAACTCTCGACTCCGAGCTTAGTAAGGGCTCTAA